AATTCCGAGCCTTACCGCATTGAATGCGGTCTCATCAAGGGAATGGTGTAATTAAATGTTTGCTTTCCCAAGTCGCGTGTCAGTAAGGGCATGCGGTCTTTCTGTCTCTGATGTGACACAATTTGCCACGCGTCCATCCCTCATTGGCTGTGGATCATGCCTTCCTGTTCCTTCTGACACCAATTGTGTAAGACGAGACCATGATAGCTAACCTAGACTAGCCTAGGCTAGTGACCTGTACATCAATAACTTATACTGGAGCAGAGAAAAAGGCATCTTGGACGGGTACATCTCGGTACCGAGGGAATGCACATCTCGGTACCGAGGATAGGTACATCTCGAGCCGAGGGAAGCCGTACATGATGACCGAGGTACAATACAGACCGAGGTACCATATTAGACCGAGGGATACGTGTCGGTTCGTAAAACGTACTCGACACGTATCAAGCACCTCGGGGCGAGGGATTTATAAGCCGATGGTACGTGATCTCAGTTAACAGGATTTTTAGTGACGCCCGAGAACACGTGTCTTCATCTTGGAGTATTTCAGAAAAGTCCCATCAGTTATATTCCTCATAAATTTCTTAAGCACAAGGTGAAATAACTTATTTTTGACTAGATTAGAGAAAAAATTTATCAAAATACACATAAACTAACCTAAATATCTCTTACCGTAAAACCCAAAAAGAAATGTTCATTAAAAATACCAGATAATAAGAATTTTATAGAATTTCATAATGGACAAGTTTACCCTTAAATTATTGATCTCAATCTATTTTCACTCCAACTTCTCAACACCCACCATCCCATGGTTATTACCATTGCTGCTGCTGCCGCTGCCACCACCACCACCATTCTCGCCGCCCCATCATCATTCACTGTCACCATTATCACTCTATTACCACCTACTATTGTCATTACCATTATGCCACAATAGACTTGCTTTCGCTCGCATCACTACCACTCTATCATATTTGGCACCACACATCATTGATCCCATCATTACCACTATTGCCATTCCAATCATTTGTATTAATTATCACCACACGACACCACTATTATCGACACCACCAACCTCTCCCCCCTTCTCCCATCGGTTCCACTATTGTTGTCATTTGTCCTTGTTGCTAATGTCACTATTTTTATTATTGTCACCACCATTATCCCAGTTATGACCACTACTCACATCACTATCACCGCAGCCGCCGTCACCACCACCACCGGCACTATTATCACAACCAATCCCCACTTTTGCCCCTTCCTTCACCCCATCATCAAACCACTCCACCATAAGCACCACAAACATACTTGACCATCTACCCATATGCAGCATTTAAAATAACTTAAAAAATGTGTTTTTAAGATTTACAACTTCTTAAAAGTACATACAATAATAATAATAAAAAAAAATTTGAAACTACTTATTGAAATTATTTCCAAATACGTTAAAGATAGTTTGATTACTTATCACCACTATCATGTTTAATTTCTTATTTTTACCTTTATCACCATTATGAGCGTTGTCCCACCAATATCACACACATGTTGTCACCACCTTCTCTATCATCATCAACCACCACCCCCACCGCGACAACCACCATCCACCACCCATCACCACACCCCTCACCTACCACTTGTCACTATCACCCACCGTCACCACCCTTTGCACATTGCCACCACCACCCATTTCCATTTTTTGAGTTGCATCTTGGTACTCATTAGTTGTAACTATTATTTTTGAGTCATAACAATCCTAAACGAGTTGTAAGTAACACCTATTTGATTGACAATATTCATATAATATCAAACTCGTTGCCGTAATCTGATTTACAATTATAACATATAACTCGGCATTTTGTTATCTAACAGACAACATAACTTGACATCTTTCTTTTTTCTTTTGTTGTCTCTTTTCTTATCCACAATAGAACAATGTTCTTGTCAAAATCAAATCACTTATGCTATTAAGACATAATTTAAGGATGTATTATAATTATTTGACTGATAGTAGGGGTGCATTCAATCCTATGATCTATCGACAATCCACTGATCACAATCTTTTTTTTTTTGTTCATGAATGGTCACAATCAATACTCAAATTATATTTCAATAAGATTGATCAAATAAAATAATCATGGGCCAGGAATTTACAACAATGAGGTATTTATGTTCTTGTTTATATGCCATCTACCCAAGCGACAATAACAGGAAAAGAAGGACAGTATAATTAGAAGACATTATTATATAAATGATGGGTACACTTACATTGGCACCATCATCTGCCCAAAAGACTTTATGTGGACAAGACAATGGAGACTTGTTACTACGAAGGTAAACAAGACAACATCATGACAGATCAACAAGTTTAATCCAAGGGCGGCCATTTTTATATTTTTGGCAAAAATTAGGGGAAGACTCAAGGGTGGACCCAAGAATCTGAATGTGGGTGACAATATATAACTGAAAATAATTTATTAATTGATATTGAAAAAAAAAATTAAGAGGTGACAATATATAAATGAAAATAATTTATTAATTGATATTGAAAAAAAAACTAAGTACAATAATGACAAAATAGACGAAATTTTGAGACAAAATTACTAAAATAGTAATACTAATTTTTATTTTTCAACACAAAATAAATTTTTTTAGTATGTTTTAATTATATTTTACAGTGAAATACAATGCTTTTTAAAATTTCTAATATTTTTATATTTGTTTTATTGTAAAAGCTATAATTTTCATTCATTTTCTACCAATGCACGCAGTCATAAGTTTTCTAATAAAATTATTGTTTAATAATTATAAAACCTAGTTGAGATCATTCTCAAGTTTTTTGAGAAATTTTATATTTAAAATAACATAAAATGATTTTGGGTTATAACATATAGCATTTTTGCATCCAATCCTGTTTTATTGACTATAAATTACAAAAAAAATCAATGAATTGAATTACAAAATGACAGTTATACAATTGTTTTTAAAAAATAAGAACCATTGTATTAGATAGAAGATAATTATTGTGCTTTTTTTGTCAAAATATATAAATAAATCACAATATTTACATCTAATTGACTCACTTCAAAAGAAAAAAAATTGTTTTGGGGAGTAATAGACTACTAATTTAGTGGGAAAAATAGAAGAAGACTAATAATACTTTAATAAAACTGTTCAAAAATTTTGGGGGACAATTATAGTACATTGTCTTGAATAACATTATGGGGCTAATCAAAGGTGATCCAAAAATGAAAGGGACAAGTGCCTACCCTAGTCCCAAGTTGGCTTCGCCCCTACGACGACTTAAAGTATTTCTAATGAATACCTATATAACTAAACACACGGACATATATTATCACCAACCTTATATAATATTAAAAATCGAATATTTGTTGTGTAATATTAAATATAATTTAAATAATAATGTTTTTTAATTATAGGATTTAAAATTAAAATAAACAAAAAAAGATAAGAGAAAGGTAGGGGAGACAGAAATGAGAGGTAAGTGTAGATTAATAATATTGTCTAACATTGAAGAGTGTATTGGTTGAAATTGTATGATATTAGGAGCCGTGCATATAAGGCGATGTTTTGAAGCAAAAAAAATAATTTAGATGAATTTTGTACCATTAGATCAAATCAAATAAAAATTATATCAATTTTAACTAATGTTATACTTTTAAGTTGATAATTCAACCTTTTAATTATAATATTATATGTAAATTGGTATATAGATATTTTTTTCTTATTCCTTAAGATCATGTACTAAATGAAAAAGGTCAAAAGTCAATATTTGCATGAGGCTAACTTGTCAAGACGACTTTTGTGTTACTCTACATGCTATATTTTTTTACTTTTTCAACCTCTAAAACAAAAGCTCTTTCTCTCTCTAAATTATAGATTTTTCTTTTTGTATGAAATTTATATAGAAGGAAAACACTTTGTATTCTCTTATAAAATCTTAATTTCAATTTTTTTTTTGGGTTTAACGGTAAATTATATTCAGACCAGCTTACTTGCACATTCATTAATTCTCTTCCCGATCTGCTAAAAATGAGACCGCTAGGGTTACTTACTGCCCTTTAATTCCTCATGACCATTTTGTATGAATTTCTAAAGTACATGAAGATAAATTGTTACCACTCAAAATACAAAAAAAAAAAAGTTGTCCAAATAGAACAAAGGATATTTTAAAATTTTCTACACACCTCTTCAACTAAGAATATCACTTGATTTTTTTACCCAACTTCGTCATATATCTTCAAAACCTTTGTTTGATCACTATTTTGATCGTGATTCTCTAATTCAAGTCTTTCTACTTAAAAAAAAAAATCAAATGAGTATCTAATTTGAGTCATTCTATACAGAAAAATAAAATTAGTATAAAACGAGGTTATTACAACTATTTATTATCTAACTTAAAAAAAAAAAATTATTAGAATCAATTGTTGATTAATGTCTTGTGCCTTGTGATTAGGGGTGTTAATCGAAATAAATTGCTTGGGTTCGGTTTGAGCTCGTTTCGCATTTAAAACAAGATGAGTTTGAACAATTTTTTAAGCTCTTTCGTTTATACATAAAATAATTGAATTACTCAGACTTAGTCCAAACTCAGACCTGACTCATTTTCTAAATGAATTGAATTTCAATAATTATTTAACATTATTTAGAAAAATGAGTTCATGATGCGAGGCCACACTCCATGGGACCATACCTCATGCATGCATGAATATACATGAGCCTGTGTACTGTGCTTAAGCATTTTTTCCCAGTAAGTATATATAAAGGTCGAATTGGAAGACAAGCAATGGTTGCATTTATCAGATCAAAAACATCCCATTTTCATTTCCCATTTTTTTCTGTCTACCACATATTTCCATATTATTCATTCCAAAAAATATTTAAATTCAATATACAAAATTATATATACATATATATATATATATATGTATACATCTGTCCAACCTCGAATATTCTTTTCCCAATCTATTTTACAGTTTTAGTGTGTCTAAATATACATTTGCTGTAATCAATTTGGAAAGAATTGAAAAGAACGAAGAGAGAGAGAGAGGGGCAGAGAGAGAGAGAGAGGGAGAACATGCCCTCGGTTCTCAGCGAGCCTCCTCTCAGATCTTAAACTTATTTTAAGATTTATCATCTGGGTTTACTTTATTTGGGTGGGTTTCGTCAAAATCTGGAGTTGGGTATTGAATTTAATTTTCTTTATTGACAATTTGGAGACTGTATTGTATTCCTAGCAAGTTTTGTGATTGATTTCTTTATTGGTGTATATCAGGGATCTTGAATCTTGTTGGATTGATCATCAAAGGATCGGAAGTTCTCGGATTGAACCCGATAATATCAATTCTTATCAGCCATACTATTTTGTGTCTGTCTTCTAGTTCTTCAAGTAAGATATGGTTCTTATTGTTTGATTATTTTCTTATCCACATTTCCTTTTATGCACTTGGATGGTGATGATTAATACAGGATCGAAGTTTGATGCGTCATTTCTTTTGCTCGGAGCTGTGTTTTATATGTTGGATCAACCATTGATTGTCTAATTCTTGTTGAAATGGACCTTTGTTTGTTTAAGAAAAAGCTTGCCTTTTGTTTCAAATTGGGTACTGGTGATTTGTGATCGTAGGAATTTGGATTGATGAACTTGTTTTGGTGCGTAGAAAACAATGCAATCCGATCTTGGCAAGTTATTTATTGGTGGCATTTCGTGGGACACTAATGAAGAACGCCTCAAGGAGTATTTTAGTACTTATGGGGAGGTGTTGGAAGCTGTAATAATGAAAGATCGGACCACAGGCCGTGCCCGTGGTTTTGGCTTCGTTGTTTTTGCTGATCCTGCTGTTGCTGAGAGAGTCATCAAGGAGAAGCATAACATTGATGGCAGGATGGTGAGTTGTTTAATCTGTCATACATCAAGATCATATTGGTTACTCTAGCAAGAGAGTTTTTGCGATAATTTCAGATGCTTGTTTCAAAATATTGCTTTTAATCTAATAATATAAGCATTATATCTGAGATTAAGTTATGTGTGGAAACAGTACTAGTGTCCTGTTCCTATTGATCTTATGTTTTTATGCATATGATTCTAGTTTTGATTTCTTGTTCGTAATGCTGTTTTACGATATTGGATTTCAAAGCCAAGCTCTCTTCTATTTTCATTTGAGTCATAACTGCAGGCTGAAGTTGTCACTTTTGGGCTTGGCTTTCATTATTGAGTTCTTGTTCTTCAGGTTGAGGCAAAAAAGGCAGTTCCAAGGGATGACCAGAGCACAATGAGTAGAAATAGTGGTAGTATTCAAGGTTCTCCTGGCCCTGGGCGCACAAGGAAGATATTTGTCGGAGGATTAGCATCCACAGTTACAGAGAGTGACTTTAGGAATTACTTTGAGCAGTTTGGGACAATTACAGATGTGGTGGTGATGTATGATCACAACACTCAGAGGCCAAGAGGCTTTGGATTCATCACTTATGACTCTGAGGATGCGGTGGACAAAGTTTTGCTTAAAACTTTCCATGAGCTGAATGGTAAAATGGTTGAGGTCAAGCGTGCAGTCCCTAAAGAGTTATCACCAGGTCCTAGTCGAAGCCCCCTTGGTGGATATGACTATGGTTTCAGTAGGATCAATAACTTCCTCAATGGCTACACTCAGGGATACTCTCCAAGTCCAAGTACCATTGGAGGTTATGGAGTTAGAATGGATGATAGATTCAGTCCAATTGCTGGTGGTAGAAGTGGGTTTGCCCCATTTGGTTCTGGTTATGGAACGGGCTTGAACTTCGAACCAGGGTTGGGCCCAAATTATGGGGGCAGTGGTAACTTTAATACAAATCTCAGCTATGGACGGGCAATGAACCCATATCACATGGGTAATTCAAATAGGTTTGGTAGTCCTAATGGATTCAATGGAGGAAATGGAGGAAGCACTTCCTTTTTCAGTTCAGCAACTCGGAATTTGTGGGGTACTGGGGGGCTTAATTATGGACCAACCTCCTCAAGTTCCCGCGGCTATGTGGGATCTGGAAGTGGAAGCGTAGGAGGAAGCTTTAGAAACAGTGGAGTTTGGGGTTCTTCTCCAATTTCACCTCAACTTGGAGGAAATGTTTCTAGCCAGAGTGGTAATTTTGGCTATGGAGGTGGTGACACCAGCTATGGTTTGGGTGTAGGAGGACATGGAAGAACCAGTGCGACTAGTGCTGCCCCCATGTCATCATATGCTGCGTCAAATGGTGGCTATGATGGGGCTTTTGCTGACTTCTATGGTAGTGGTTCTGTATACGAGGACCGCACTTGGAGCACCGCAAACTCTGACCGAGATGCTTCTGGCTCATTTGGCTATGGGTTTGGCAATGGAGCATCTGATCCCCCACCTAAAAGTTCTCCAGGTTATGTTGGTGGCTATATTGTTAACAAGAGAGACAAGTAGAGGTAAGTGACTCATTGAACTTATTCGTGCAAGGTTCTCTTTTTCTTTTAAGATCCAATTTGAATTTTTGTAGTCTCTTTCAACTCTTACCTAGTACAGAAATCTGCCGGATTACTTCTCAAAACAGGATTTAAAATTATAGAAAGTACATTATCGTGCACATGATAGACCAAAAGTCTTTTTCTTCACTTCTTGGATATGATCTTCTGTCTATGACAGTTCAAAGGACTGCAAAATTTGTATGCCATTGGGGGTTATGACTTATGACCTTGAATTAGAAATCGCAGCAAGATAACTGTTGTAAACCCAATTTGAATGCGATCCAAGTAGGTGATCGAAATGGAGATATAGTTCACTCCATATACTGAAGTCTGAGATGTATTCTGTTTCTTGATACTTTCTGTTTTTTTAAACTTGATATATTTCTGCTCTTGGTCTGAGTTGGCACTCATGGGGTGGTCTTGTCTTATCCTCAATTACAAGTTGGGAGCATGCTCTCTAATTTCCAAACTTGATTTTTCCGGTTTTGTTATTGAAGGATTTACTCTCTTTTAGTGATTAAGGAGCTATTAAGACATAGAGATGGTGATTCCTATGCAGTGGCTAAAGAGCTATGGAGTATCTTCCTCTTTGCTTCGGAAAGGTGGCTTGGATTGTGCTGGATTGAGATAAGGAATTTTATAGTTTGTAGTTTGTAACCCCCTGGTTGACGATGCTGGCAGAACATTTTTAAGTCTTCTGCATTGTGCTTGGTGTGGTGATTCAGTGGTTTGTGAGGGGGTAAAGCTTCCTATTTTGAGGCTTACGATATTGGCGCTGGCAACTTTCGTGCCCCTTTTTTTAAACTGGTATCTGGGGTTATATGCGGTGGGGGGTTGAGGGAGCAAGATTGTCCTGGTTATTATATTTCTTTTATAGGTTCTTTTGGACACCATGCACTCAGTGTAGGTAGAGAGGTTTTGCTTGTTATTGTCACATGCAGAGGGGGTGTGAAATAATGATGATATTTGAAAAAGAGTCAGATGATGCCATTTATTCTGTTTCTGTGACAGCCCAACAACGGGTTTTTGAGTGCGATGGAACTGCTTTCTCATCTGTAAGCTACTTTGGCCCATAACAATTGTAGGTTTCCTCCCCGTCCCTCTTTCTATCACCTCTAGGCATTACTGCTAGGCTAGCCGGCACCTCCATGACATATTCGTTTCAACTGAGGTAGTAAAGGAGCCGATTGAGCTTTGTAGCGGTTGCTTGAGCATGGCTTGAAAAAGTAAGGAGCTCTAGTGAGCATGGATTGCTCTGCAAAGAATGATTTCAAGTAAGGTTTTACTCGAGTTAATCTTGATTAAACTCATAAGGTTTATTATTATTATTATTATTAGTTGTAGTAATAGTAGTAATATTTGTATGCATCTATTTGAGTACTCTGTACCTTATTGAGTCATGTTTAGACAAACTGCCCTGCCCAAGCCTAATGATTGATGAGCTTTAAAATAGGATAAGATTGGCTTAGTGTCATTATTTATATCTTATTAGCCATTAACTTGCTGATCTTAATTGGTCCATCTTATAACCCTACCATGTCCTTCCTCGGTTCAGTCTGTTTGTGTGCGTATCCGGTCTCCTTATGTCCCTAATCTGTATGTACGTTACTTATTGAGTTATTGTGTTAGAAGAAAAACCAGAGATGAAGACACGCTACTTTGCCGCTTGGGTTGAATTGGTTGTTTCATAGATTATGATTTACTGGTCATTTAGTGAGGTTTTTGCGAAGTATGAAAAACCACACAGATTGATAGGAGGAGTGAGGGCGGATGGCTTGAGGGTTGGATTGGGATTGGGCTGGCTGACATCGTTGGAATGGTCATTGTTAGGAATCTTACCAATTTCGGTCTTACTTTTGTGCTAGAGCCTCACCATTATTGACGGAAGAGTGTTACATTTCAAAATGTCAAAATAAAGCTCTTATTGTATCATCCACCAAGTCATGAAATTTATATCTGAATGAGCAATTAGCCAATTCAATCTTCTTTATCATGTTTACTATTAGGAAAAAGTTGCGTGGAATATTCAAGCAAATTAAGAATCTTATAAATCATTGTGTTGAGCAGCAACTATTTATGTTTAGTATGAAACTCTTGACTTTGAAGTTTTGTTCTACTTTGACTGATGCAGACCATGTTAATACGAAAGGAGTGCAAATTGGAAATTTCACATCAAGCATGCTTGAGACCTCATATTTTCTGGGGTTGTCTCTTAATTCTAGGTTAATCTTATGTTAGATTAATTCTTCATTCCCATACAATTGAGTTCTAGGAGTGAAGATAAACTCAACTCTACTAAACTCCACCAGGCGTTGTTCCAATTATATTGGAGTTATTTTGGAGTAGGCTACATGAACCCTACTTCATTAGTGTGCTATATTGAGGATCGCGTTTATATTAAATTGTAAGCTATCATGATGTCTTTCACCGCCACTTTTAAATTTCAAAGTAAATTTTGGTCTGTCTCGACTCATCCATTACCTGGATAGGTATCTCATCACTCTATCATTGGTGCGATAATAGGTCTTCTACGAAGACTTCCTAATTAAATCAATTATGTTTTTATTTTACGTTTTGATGGTGCTACTTCTACCATAATGCCCTTTCCTGATTTTACTAGACATCCATTTTAATATCTTCATTCTCACATCGTTTGGTTTTTGACTGTGCTATTTCTTAATTGTCTAACATACAGTATCGTTAAGCATTGCTAGTCTAATAGTTGTGTTGGGAGTCAAGATCTCTGTTTTTATTTTGACGTGGGACGCAATTATAGCTAATGGGTCTTAGATAATGTTGTTTGGATATTCCCACTGGAGCAAGATTCATTGTGGCATCCGGTCATTGGGAAAAAATATGAGTTACAAGCTAATGGGTAAGATGCTAATAGGGGTGAAAGGAGAAATTTTCAGAGCACATGGAAGTTCATTTCTAAAGCATTACCATTGTTTTTCTCAGAGAGTTAAATTCATTGTAGGAGATAGAACTAAAGTTCGTTTTATAGAGGATATTTGAGTGGGGAAGTCTTCTTTTTCTGGAATATTTTTCCTCATCTCTATCGTATCTCTTATTATCATGGTAACTAAATTGCATCTTTAGTTGTCTAAGCATGCCAATGGCGTGCACTGCTGACCATAATTGTGGCAATGACGTCTCTACGGGCATACAATAGCCCAGGCTTTGGCTGCCACCCCAATCCTGTTTCTTGGGACTTTGGTTTTCATAGGAATTTTAATGAGACGGAGTGCTTAGAGGAGTCGGTTCTTTGTTCCATGCTTAACAGTGTTACCTAGACCCAAAACTTGTCGGACAGGAGATGGGATTAGTGATCCAAATGGGTGTTTTTTCATGTAAATCCTCTTTTGAGTCTCTAATTATGATTCTTCATTATCACTACTCTACCCATCATTGTAGATTTGGAAGACCAATGTGCCTTTAAAGGTGCAATTTTTTGCATGGATAATTGCTTATGATAAGATCAATACTAATGATGAACCTCAAAGAATAAGATCCAACATTGTCTTCTTCCACAATGATGTGTTATGTGTAGAGGTGATGGTGAGAACGTAGATCATTTATTTTTGCATTGCCTTATGGTGAGATCAATATGGAATAAGATATTTAGCTTTGTGGGAATTTGTTGGGTGGTAAAAAGGTCAATGTCATATTTTTTTTTTTTTGATGATATGGGTTTTGGTGGAGATAGGAGAGGAAAAACCCTTTGGATTTGTGCTTTTTTTGCTACATGTGGGTTATTTGGTTCGAAAGGAGCGAGGATCTTTGATGATAAATGGGAGGAGGTCTAGGGTTTATGGGATCAATTTTATTTCTTGGCATTTTTTTTGGCTTTGATGTCTAAGGAGTTTGAGAATATTCTTTTTTTTATTTTTTTATTTTTATGCAAGTTGGAAAACATCGTGTGGTTTCTAATTTGGGTTTTATTTTGTTTTGTTTGTTTTACCTGTCATTGTGTTGGAAGTTCTGCCCACCTTTGACTTGGTGTTCTCTTTTGTAATTTTTTCTTTTCTTTGTTAACAAAGGTACTGTTTCTTATTGAAAAAAAAGGAGATACCCAACAGCCTATAAATATACTATTTATGCTTTCTACTAGATGACGAATTGAGTTCTAGAGTATTTAAGGTTATGTGCGCACACCATGTCGCTTTACTCCTTCGAGGTGAATCCAAAGTTTTTAGGGCTACCTTTATTGGTTTATTGTTCACAACCCTTGAAAAATGATAACGTTCCTTTTCAACCTTAAACTCTTCTCTACAAAACCTTAATCAACCTTGATCTATTCCTTTACCCAAAACTAGGAA